TGGAGAAATGTCACAATAAGTTTCCATAATTTTTTAAGCTCCTGTTTCTATAACCAGAAGTCTCTGAAGAGAAATTAGCTTTAATTGTGTATACTCATGTCTAAGTGAAATCCGACCAAAATTGTAGGATGAGTAATGTTTTGAAAGATTTTTGTAGAATTTGCTTCTTATACTAACAAATTGCCACATTGTTGAAATTAAAAAAAAAAGAATAAAATCATTTTATCTAAGCAAGTCCATTAATAGGAATTAATGAGAAACTTTAAATTTATTTTTTGTATTAATGCCAAAACCGTTTGTCATAAACAAAAACCGACATAGAGAATTATTTATCTTAGGTAAGTTTACTTGTGTACCAAGTTTTGTGAAATCAGTTAAAACTGTAGGAAGAGTTGTGTTTTGAAAAAAATTAAAACAAATATCTATTTTTAGTAACCATGGCGATACCTTTGTCGAAATCAACCACTGATTCTAAGAATTATGAATCTTAGTTTAGTCTACTAGTGTACCAAGTCTTACTGAAACTGGATTATAACTGAAAGAGGAGTAGCATTCTGAAAAAAAAAATTGTTTACAGACTCGGGGATCTAATTTGCAACTACTAGTAATGAAGTCGCCATGGCGCTTGAAAATTTTGATTAGCGCATTAAATATCTCTACAGGTCCGACAAATTGGCGACCATTTTAAATTGACTTGGCGATCGTTGAATTCCGGAAGTATAAACATTTTTAGCAATGTTTTTTTGGTGGGATTACAAAGATTCTCTTATGTCCCTCCACTTTCAAAAGTGAAAGGAGCCCTAGACAGTAGACACCACTTTCCCATGACTACCCATCACGGTGCCTATTTTGTCTTCTTAAAGTTAGTGCTTGAGAAAAATTTCCCTGGCAACTTGAAATTTGCATTGGCGACTTAATTTTTTTTTATAAGAAGTCTGCTGGCGCCTAAATTTTAGAGGTCACTTCGAGGCCTGAGACAAACGGTCGGACGACGAACACCTTACTAATTTTTAAGCACGTAGTGCAGCCGATGCAATTGAGAATGATAATTATACACTGCGTCTATAATTTTCAGCCATTTTTAGGGATTCATGGTCATATCGAGAATATGGAAAACCACAAAAATACTTCTTCAAACATCTTCGTTTATAGATTTTATTAACTGAACAATAGTTATAAATATTAATCAAAATTAAATTCCTTTTTCTTTAATTGACATGAAATATTAAATCTACATTTGAAGAAATATAAGCAAATGCGCTTAATATTTTTAGTCAATCTACAACCCTAAAGTAAATATGTATTGAAAGTCTTTGTCAGTGTTTTCAATCCTTAATATGATGAAGAACACACCCAAATAATTAAGGAAAGTGATTGAAATATATATACCTTTCCCCGCAAACTAAAGGCCGGTTTACACAGTAATACATGTAGTATACAACTTGTCGTATACAATTTTTGTAATATATTCCTTACATGTCTACAGGGTCAAACAGGTTTACATTCCACTCTATTGCTATTTAAACAAACGAAACGCCCCTTTGTACTGAAGAAGTACAGTTTTTTTGTCAACATAGAAGCAGGAAAAGAGGAAGATAGTTATTTTAATGTGCATTTTGACAATTTCATTTGTACTCACTGCTGTACCAGCGAAGAAGATTAGAGGAAGGCCATGGGTCAGACAATGGATCGGGAGGAGGGACCACTCTAGTGCATTCATGCTCATGTTAAAGAACTAATCACTATTTTTAAATTTTCTAGAAATCTGCGAATAGATATATGGCAGATTTTGATGATCTTCTGGACATAGTATCCCCATTTATAAAGAAGCGGGACACGTTAATGAGGAATTCAATTTCACCAGCAGAACGTTTGCTCTTACACTGCGTTTTTGGCCACCGGTAATATAAAATTAACGGTCTGTTTGAAATACACGTAAGGAGGAATGCTACACCAAAATTTTATTTGATGGATCTTCAAATCATCCTTTTTAAACTAAAGTTTTAGCACTGAAAGATTGATATTCGCTTTTATTTTTTGTTTACGATTTGTTTCATATTTTTTAGCGAAAATGTAAAAAAAAAAATCATTTTTTTTTAAATTTGAACAAGCCATAACTCATGTACATATACATGTATAAAAATGTTGAAGTATTCTTTTATAAAATTGAATTGGTCAGTGAAGCATAAATAGATCACCCAAATCCCAGACCGCTGATTGGCCAGAGAAAGAAAGTTTCATACGACTTGCTTACAGAATAGAGACACGCTCCACTCGAACGCGTGGAATATATGACTCCGGGGAGGTTTAAATTCCATGTAATAGCGCCGTACACACAGTAACATTTTGCTGTATACGACAAGGTTTATACCGCCTGCTTTACCGTGTAAACCGGCCTTAATAAGTGAGATGTTTTTTAATCAATACTACTCATGTTGATTTTTTTGCACTTACATGTACACAGGATTTAATAAGTAAATGAATGTTTTGGTGTTACTTTGAGATTTACACTGTTAGTATTTATGAAAAAATGTAAATTACTTTTTTAAAAATTAATGTTTTAGCGAAATATTATAATTATATACGAACCAATAAAAATTCATGAATAATTAACAAATAATTATGAAAATGAATACACATCATTTCATAATAGATATATAAACATTAAACACAAAATCTAATAGATCTATGACTCAGACGAATTGTCATCAAGATATTGTACTACTTAAGGTATGTCACTCGTGAAATTAGTTATATTAAGTATTTTTCGAAAAGTATATTTTAGATAAGTATTCATATAGCATGACTAAAAATCGCAAAGAAAATTGGGGTCAGTGTTAATGAGCAACGGTACAATTAACTTGACCTTTTTGCACTAAAATTGTAACTCGTAGGTTATCAACTTTATTCTTTATCATAATTGATCAGATGTAATCAATGTGAATAAATAGAATCTTATTTTATGTAAAAAAGTTTAAATAATAATTAGCATTGAACAAATCATGCAAATTAATGCGCAAAAATTATTACGTGACCTTTTTGCACTAAAATAGCATTATATTCGGAGTATTAAAAATCTAAATAGACAATAAAATATTTTCTTATATCAAACTTTTGATGACTAAAATGTTGTTCGGTCGGAAGTATCGTGTTATTTAAAATAACGAAAGAAAAAAATGGGGTAAGTGATGTACATTTTGAGATATTGGTCAAAATATGCAATTTTCAGGCAGAAAACAGTGAAAATTTTATCTTGACCCCTTTAATATATCTTCAATTCTTGGCAAAGTCTGTTGAATGAATGTGTAAACTTTGTTCTAAAAATATAAATTGAAACTTGTATTTAATATTCATAGCATATATAATAACGGAAAACAATTTCTGAGAAAAAGTATGTGGGGTTAAACTTCCAATACATTAAATTTAACAAATGTGTAGATTTGAAGAATTTTCATCTAAATATTCTTCCACAGCAAGAAATAGTCCCTCATAAATCTTGTTTCTTTATGACTCTGTGAGCAGTTTTTAATTTGAATGTTGTATAATTTGCATTTTTTTAATTATATCCTACGCAGCAAGTTGCGGGGAGTATAATGTTTTCGACCCGTCCGTCCGGCAGTCAGTCCTGTTTTTTGTCAGCGTAACCCCTCTTAAACTGCTACACAGAATTTCGTCAAACTTTTCAGATATTTAGGACGCAGTGTGTAGTTGTGCATATTGCCAGGAAATTTCAATTCCGTTATTTTTCTTGGAATTTCGGCACTTTCAACTTAGATTTTTGACCATATCTTGAATATATAGATGAACAGTTTATCAGCGCAACTCCTCTAAAACCGCTGCACAGAATTTCGTCGAACTTTGCAGATATTTAGGACATTGTGTGTAGATGTGCATATTGCTAGGAAAGTTCAATTCCATTATTTTTTACCTTAAGAGTTTTGGCTATTATTGAAGAAACTTTTCAGCTACGTAATAAGGAAATCCACTGGAGTCAGATTTTGTAATGAAATTTTATGTGAAATATTTTATGACCTTTAAAAAACCCCTATTGATTTTGAGATCAAAATATTAATGATTCAACACACACACACTGTTGGATAGAAGTACACAAAAAGCCCCCCCCCCCCCCCCACACACACACACACAAACATACATCAAAGGAGTGCTTTGCCTAAAATAATTTCATAAGTACAGTACATATACAAAGATCTTTATATGACTACATCATAATTTTGTTTCCATCAATTATTTCAATGTTTAAATTGTCATTCGTTGGACATGGACTTACACTTATTAACAAATCGAAATCATTGAGGAATTTAAATAACAGTTTGTCAGCATAATTCCTGCACTGAATTTCCTGAAACTTTGTAGGTATTTCAGACATAATGTGTAGATTTGTATATTACCAAGAAAGATTTTGATTCCATTATTTATCTTTAAACTTCAGCCCAATTATATTTGTTACAGACAAAGATTTGAATGTCCTTATATGCAAGAAGTTTTAATGTGATGAATTTTTTCAAGTAATTCCCCTTTTTGAATTATACTGTGTATTTAAGGTGAACTGTGCCATTTGTTATGTGTTGCATTGTCAAGTTTAGGGGAAACGTAGGGTATGTGAGCTTGCTTACTTTTTCTTTCTATCAAATATGTTATAAAAATTGAATTGAAATAAATAGTTTTGAAGTTAGAGCTTCTGACTAAACTTTTCTTAAAAGCTGACGAGTGACATGCCTTAATAGTCAACTGAAGATTTCTTCGCAACTTTACATTCCTTCAAAATGGTTGCATGTCATTCACATTATCACAGTTGTGTATTTTCATTAGCTGAGACAGTCTTGCACTTAACTATGACGTCATATGACGTAGGTTCTACGTTAAGTTTATGTACATACAGATGCATTTGTTCTTTAGAAACATCAAGCTAATAAATATTTTAAAATAAAAATGTATATACAACGACTAATTGTCACAAACAAACATTTATATACCTTTAAAATAAGAACAATTATGACAAGATGAATACGGCACAGCACAATTCGTACCAACATAGTCGGCTTCTATAATCTCGGGTGTTTGGGTTTCAATTCAGGATTCTCCGTTGATAGACAATCTTACATTTCTTGTGGATTTCCGGTTTCACCGTTCATTTGTTGATCAACCTTAAACATTGTGAAAAAATTTCTAAGCATATTTTTATAAATAAATCTTTACTAAATTCATTGGATAATCATCAATATTTCGATTGAATGCTTTTAATTTAACATCTTGCAAACAAAATTGAGTACTCACCAACAGTTATTCATTAGTTTAACTTAAGGTGTGTTTTATCTCCCTCTAAAAATTATATACTCTTCTACAAACATTTTGACGTATTCAAGTTTTGAAGGCGTAAAAATGTGTCAGTGTGACAGAGTGCCCCAACTGGTTTAAATATATGAAGGTCCAAGGATTTAAAAGGTGGAGATGAGACAAAACTAAAATATGGCCTGCTTTTGTTCTTCTTGAATAATTTTTAATACCAAAATTAAAATTATAGTGTGAAACTCAGTTATATAATTATAATAAATCTCTTTTGTAAGCCGAGTAAGGTGTATTACTCTTACCTTCTTTCATTTATTTGCTATGAGCCTACATGTAGTTAATTCAATTGATGAGATGATGGTTACCTAGTAATATATATTTACATTTCCAACTGTTTTCTCTGTGATCACTCTTTAAAACTTAAGTGTGATGATATCTGGATAATTACCAGTGGCGAATTTGGGGGGGGGGGGGGTCGGGAAAAACCCTGCTATTGGATTTTCTTTGGGGATAGGGCCTCACCCCCCTTTTACCAACTTCTGGATCCGCCACTGATTACAACTGAATCTAAATTCCGCCAAGTGAAAGGTCAGTTGCCTAATACATGTATGCATGTCAATCTCTCGTGGCTGTCTTTGTGTCAATGGGCGGGGCTATGGAAATTAACATGGAATGAAGTGTGTTATAAATTTATTATATACATTTTTTTAAATTTAAATTTTGATTTCATATATAAAATGTAAATTTAAAGAATCACTTTCTAGTTAACCTAGGTTTCCAACTATCGTTGATGTCCAGGCATGCCCAACAAACTATAGACAGTGGTTCCTTAAATATTTTTCTTGCTTGTAGAGAAAGATGTCATATATTTCTTAGGAAAATAAAAGAGATTGTTAAAAAGTTTACCTTTAATTTAAGGTCCTGAGGATGAAAGTGCCCTTTTGCAATACCAAGCCGAGTCTCTTTGTAGACCTTAGTAGCAGATGTCATATGGGTGTCCTTGATTGTTTTAATCTTGTATTTCTTGTAGTAAATAACAATACTTGTTGGCAGTATGATTATTCCTGTTACAGCGCTAACAATAACCAAAGGAACTGAAACATCTGGAAAAAAAATTGTGCAGTTTATGGTGACTATCAAAATTGCTGATTTTTTTTCCAATTTGTAATTGTTTTGCTGTGGATATTAACCAAATACCAAATGTTTAAATAAAATTTTCAAGTACTCGAACTGTCTCCTGATGAGCGCATAAACCTAAATGATGGAAAAACCTCTTTCCTCTAACATGTTGCACACCTTTAATTTGTTTGGTGAGCAATGAAAATTTTCCAACATTCATACTTTCCATGATTTTGATTTAGAGATACACCGAAGCAATGCATATTTTAAGGGCGTATTTTACTTACACATTTCGTGCATTTAGACAGAAATCATGAAGTTTGATGAATTTGAAAAAAGTCACAACTATAATTGCCTCATAAAATGCATTGGAAAACAATGTGAAAGCTAAAATAAAAACTACATGAAGAAGAAAGGTAGATCCTGAAATTATTTTTCATGTCATTTGTCTGTTAAACTGTATGTAATTTTAAGTTTCTCACGATTTCATTCGTTGTATATAGCACGTTAGAAGCTACGATACTTATAATAATCACACTCTGCTTTTTGAGTCTGGGTCGAGGTCATTTTATTAAAAATTCTAGTGATAAACATCCATCAAATGCAGCAAAAGAAGTATAAATAATCGTCAAAATCACTGTGCGTTCCTGCTAAACACAAAACCCTACAAATATTTCATTATTTATTGCATGTAAATTATCTATGTTGTGTGTGTGCCCCTGTATGGCAGCTAATATGGCGAAGGTTTAATTTTCTCAAATGAGCCTTCGGCTCAGGTGAGCTAAAAAGAAACGTATGATTTTACATTTAACGTAGTTCCACACTTGAAATACGTCACAAAAAATCGAGTTAGAATTGTATTACGTCACAATGGTCGGATTCGTAATGGCGACCGTCTTGGGTTTTAATTTTTCACAGCGAATGTCATAACCGGTAAATTAAATTATTGCGGGAAAAAATGGCGAGGGATAGAAAGGGGAGATTTATTTAAGAATCTCGTCAGAAACAAAGAGAAGGATTGGCGAGAGGAAAAGAGAAAACTAGATATTATTGAGATGGTGGCCATCTCAAAGGACCCCGCTTTCAGCAACGAACATGAAAATGTAAGGTAGCTGAAAAGGGTTTAATTTGAAGAGGAATATTTGTGTACTATTAAGGGATGTGTTGTTTGAGGCTAATGGGCTTCTATGTCGTCCTTGTTATAATATAAAATGGCAAGAAAGTCACGAGTGCTCCATACCCTCCATAAAAAAAACGGCTCAAAAATTACGAATGTTGCATATCCTCTATGAAAATTGTTGCATATCTTCTATCAAAATATGGAAGGAAAATCACTAAGTCAATTGTTAAAGTTTGAGGCTGACTGGACTTGAGGGAAAGAAATTATGCACCGAACAAAGATTTTAAACAGAGAGGCTATTTTTCACCTTGACCTAAAAACTTCGTTCAAGGTCACTGCACATCCATTGATCAGTGGCACTCTGTGAGTGAAGTATGGGCCACACTGGACCAAGGGGAGAGAAGATATGCTGCGGACAAGGATTTTTCATATAATTCTGCTATGACCTTAACCTTAGACCCACCTTTACCCAAAGGCACTCTGTGGGTGAATTATGAGCCAGATTGGGCCAAGGAGAGAGAAGATATGCTCCGGACAATAATTTAAAAAGAGAGGCTATTTTTGACCTTGACCCAGAAACTTCGATCAAGGTCACTACACATCAATTGACCAGTGACACTCTGTGAGTGAAGTATGAGCCACATTAGGAGAGAAAATATTCTCCGGACAAGGATTTTTCATATAATTCTGCTATGACTTTAACCTTTGATCTAGAAACATGGTTCAAGGTCAGTGCACACCCTTTACCCAAAGACGCTCTGTGGGTGAAGTATGAGCCAGATTGGGCCAAGGAGATTGATTGATTGATTGTATGTTGTTTTACGTCCCATTCGAGAATTTTTCACTCATATAGAGACGTCACCATATACCGGTGAAGGGCTTCAAATTTTGACCTTTACTCGGCACTCAGGGCCATTGAGCAGTGAGGGATCTTTATCGTGCCAACGCCTGCCGTGACACGGGGCCTCGGTTTTTAAGGTCTCATCCGAAAGACCCGCAACTTTCACTTCAAAGTGCCGAGCGCATGGCGAAGGAACAGTTGCTATCCATTTTATCGACTTGGTTGGGCCAAGGAGAGAGAAGATATGCTCCGGACAAGAGATCTCGGACGGACAGACTGATCACTATAGGGCACCCGCAGAGCGTGCCTAATTAAGGCACGTAAGAGCGGTATTAATGAGACATCTGAAGAACCTATCGTTGGAATTGATCACAATTATTTTGAAGGTGAGGATGGTGGTGACGATGTTTGCCATATCGCTAAAGAAGTTGTAATGTCGCAAGAAGACGAAGAGAAGAGAGACCAATGGCGCGTGGGCAGACGGGTTGTAGATTTGGGGATTATTGCAGACGGGTTGAAGAGCTGTCAACTGTGCGACCAACCACTTCACTTGCCCGATTGTGTGTGTGAAAGAAAATTCGGACTATTACATGATTTGATTGTTAAAATGCAATTTTTTGGAATGTGGATTCCTCAACGAAGTACCAACTGGAGGAAAACACAAAACAACAAGTGGTGGATACGCATGGGATGTAAATACCAAGTTGGCAGCAGGTAATTTTTACACTTTCTCATTTGACATCCCTTCCAAGAAAAATAACCCTGTTGAGGGATTGCTATGTAGTAACGACTTATATGTAATTAAATGCAATTTTTAGCAATGATTAATGAGGGACTTGGTGAAACTCAGGTGAATGGTTTATTGGCTTCCCTGAACATTCCCACAATTACCCAGAAGAGTCTGAAGAAGCGAGAAAGAGAAGTTGGGAACCATCTGGAATTCATGGCTGAAGAAAGTTGTCGACAGCATCTTCGCAGGGAAATGGACATGTATTTAGTTTGTTTATGTATTTTTTGTATGTTTTAAGTTTGTTGTAAAGAGGAGTCTGATAAATAAGTTCTTTGTATAGGAATTACCATGTAGTGTAAAAGGGAAACCATTCACTTGCTGTTATGTAATTCATATTGTAAAAAAAGGAACTATTAATTTAAAAAAAATTGATATTTAGTTTTTCAATTATGTAGTCTTGATATGATATTTTTAATTTTAACAAATATCTCATACCTGTTTAACGTATGTTAGTAATGGCTTAATTTTAGGAGTGAAGGGAACCTGTCAGCCAGTTTTGATGGAGCATGGCAGAAGCGGGGCACAGGACGAGCATATAATAGCCTCACAGGTATATTTATTCTTTAACATTTGAACAGGTGAACTAAAACAATTGTACAACATATTAAAAGTTTTATGATACCTGACACTGTCACTGCAATGCAATAGCAGCATATATATACATGAAAGTATCAAAGTCAATATAGATTTAATCATATTAAATTAGGCCATGCATCATTATTTGGGAGAAAACTTATTGGGTGTTCAGTAATGGCCAAGAAATGCAGAATTTGTGCAGCAGCCAAAGCAGTTTCTCCAAGAAAATACAAATGCAGCGTTAACTGTACAGGTTCAGCCAAAGCAATGGAATCTGCAATGGCCTGCCAAATGCTAAAGAATGTTGAAGATGAAGGAGCAAAGGTATTAATATACTTGGTTATACCATCCTATGAAAAGTTAAATAGTAATTGTAATGACTATCTGTTCAGTCCTCATTCAAATCCAGTCAATTCATTTGTTTTAATGAACAATATCATCAAAAGCTCAGTCGGTATTTGTATGAAAGCTTCTCATCACCATGTGTTGTCTGCTTTCAAGTGCATTTTCTTATATAGATTGAAACCAAATAAATTAATATAAAACGTATACATTATTTCAGGTGACAACTTTGATAATGGATAATGATTCTACAACTCTTTCAAGAGTGAATGCATCAGTGAATCCAAACATCTCAAAGAAATCAGACAGCAACCATATAAAAAAGGGATTTACAGGCAACTTGATTGAACTGAGTAACCAGCACAAAGTGTTGAGAAATGTAAAGGTCAGAGGGCACATAGAGCGATGTTTTATGTACTGCATCCATCAGAATCAAAACAGAGAACAACAACTCAAGGCTGATTTCAGAAACATTGTTTCACATTTATATGGTAAGGGTATACTGTATGTATTACATGCAATAAGTGAGCTTAAACATTTTGAAATTTTAGAGTGTATATGCTTAACATTATGCATAATCGTAGGTGAGCATCATGCCTGTGGTTCTTGGTGTAAAAGTGAGAAAAGTAACTATAAACCCAGGAACCTTCCATATGTAAAACCATTGTCATGTCCCAATCTTCGTAAAGCTAGAGGACCTTTTTGAGAAGTATGCCAACAAAGTTAGTGAATTGTGTGCTTTAGGATCTACCCAGCTGAATGAAAGTTTTAATCAAATGGTGTCTAGTAAAGCACCAAAAAGATTGTAAGTATGATCAATGTCATGTACAATTGATTTGTACCTGTATGAATTTTCGCTATTCCATTTACCAGTCCATAGTTAAACCAGAAGTCTCTGATGAGACTGTAGCTCTAATGGTCTGTACGTTTGACAAAGGAAAAGTAACACCTGGATTTGAAACTTTGCAACATGCAACAATAAATAGGATTATGTATCTTAATGTGTCTACTTCTGTGCCAGGTTATATTGAAATCAAACGAAAACTGTAGGAGGAGTACAGTATTTCACAGAAATTTCTATTTTTAGTAACCATGACAACACCCTTCACTGGAATTAAAAACCGAAATACATATTATTTATCGTAGTATATTCTAATTATGTGCCAAATTAAAATTGTAGATTGAAATCAGACCAAAACTGTAGGAGGAGTAGCGCTTTAAAAGAATTTCACAGAAATTTCTATTTTTAGTAACCATTGCAACACCCTTCATCGAAATCAAAAACTAATGTATTAAATTATGTATCTTAGTATAG